GGAGCTGCCACTCCAGGCTGGATGGTGGGATCAGACTTGGACTGGTTATGGTGTTTGTTTGTGTGTGTGCTGAGCATGGAATCTATGTGTGTCACTTGAGGTCATGTCACCTCCTGTGTCCACCTGCCCTTGGGGCCAGGCACCAGCTGAGCCCTGGATTTCCTGGGAGATGGATACTGTGCCCCCCCCAGATGGCAAATCCCTGCCAAAGGCAGGTTGGGCAGACTCACACCCAGCCCTCCTCCTCCTTGTGCTTCCAGCTGGAATTTAAGCACCTTGGGGGGATTTTAAGCCCCTTGGCTGTGACCTTGTGGTGGGGAGGGCTGGGGGGCTGTGCCAGACCACTCCCCATGAGCACCTTAAGCCTCTTAGGGGCTTCTCCTTGGGGAGGGTTTGTGGAGGCAGCGTGAGGCTCTGAGCACGTGGAGCACAGCAGCCTTGTGTCAAGGACACTGCCTCTGGTATCACATCCTGTGGTGCCTTTTCCTCTTGGATTCTTTCTGTCTCCATCCTAAATCCCCATAAATTTGGCCCAACACATCCTCCTCCATCCTGGGGGACTCACAGCCATCAAGACCCCCACTGACCCCCCATCATCCCAGGATGAGCTCCCCAAGGAGCCACCAAGCTCTTGAGTGTCACTAAGAAACCCCAGTTAACAGCCAGGCCCTGCTCTCTGCCAGGGAAGTAGCTGTTTCTGCATGGAAAACACTCAGGATCCCTCTAATCCTATTTGTTGGAGCCCAACTAATTGCAATTAGTGGCAGGGGCTGAAGTTCAATTAAAGTGTGCTGAGATTATTCCAGTTTTAATTGCTTTAGTGCTGGATTAAGGAAGCTTTGGAGTGACACCTCTGTGGGCAGGCTGGACCCTGTCTGGATGGATCCAGGTGGTTCTGGGAGGGCATCCCCTGTGCCAGGATCCCCATTTGGGCCAGGATTGAGGCTGGAATGGGAGTGCCATTACTCCCACTGGGATTGAGGGGCACTGGGAGGATCTCGGGGGGAGTGGGGGATCCCCTAGGAGACACAAGACAGGATCCCCTGCATGGGATCCACTGCCCATCCAAACATCCAGTCCCAGCAGTACTAATCCAAACACTCCCTCCCCACCCAGAGCTAGGGGAAGGACACAGGATTACCCCTTGGGAAAGAAGGGAGATAAATAATCCTATTACCCCCAGGCAGGATAAATCTCCCTCCCCGAAAAGCCACTCAGAGCACCTCTGGGGTGGAAGGAGCAGCACGGAGGGAGCAGCTCTGGCCTCGGGGACTGTGTGAGTCGAGGGGTTTCCAGCTGTGGGGTGGGATGTGGTGGTGCTTTGCTGTTGTTCCTGCATCCAGGAACATCCAGGTATCTCCCTGGATTGGATCCTGAGACATGGTGTTGCTTTGCTGCTGTTCCAGCATCCAGGAACATCTCCCTGGGTTGGCTCTGTTCTCCCCAGCCCCATGCCCACCCTCCAGGCTCTGCAGCTGGGCTGAACACCTCATGGTGATGCCAGAGCTGGGGTTTGTCCCACAGAATTCCCACTCCCAGTGTCTGGAGGAGGGATAGAGCCCATGTGCCTCTCTCTGCTCCCTCTGCCCCCCTCACACCACAATGGTGTTCACAGCCAGGTAAACCCCATGACAGTGGGGCAAGCCTGGCAGTGCCATGAGAAGTCCCAGGTGTCACATCCACACTGGGATGGAGGACAAGGGATGAAGGAGCAGCCCCAGGGGGTGGCAGCAGTGTTGATGCCCCCCAGGATGCCCTTCCCTGCCTTAGGGGATTAGTGAGCTGAGTTGGGCTGACTCAGGGGTGCAGGGAGGAGGCTCTCAAAGCCGCTCAGGGACAGGGTGGGAGGAGGATCTGGTGCCCCCCATGTCCCCTCCAGCAGGAGTGAGGAGCCATCCCGTGGCAGCACTGGATCTACAGGGAACGCTGTGCCCTGGGACAGGCTGCCAGCACCCACAGCCATGAG